CTTTGCTTCTGATCGACGGTGTTGCCGGTGGTGCGACCTCACAGTCGAGGTAGAGCGACCGATAACTTTCTTCTCCTCTCTCATCGACTTAGGCCTGATCCGTAGGCCTTATGGCTCCAATTCTATGCACTTACACAAAACTTCCTTATTTCTATTAGCTTTTACCATTATCACACTTACTTCTCTATTTGCCATCCATCATTTCTGATATGAAGTGCTGGCCTTCATACGATTGCGTGGTACTGTGCCGTGCAAGGTGGATGGCGGTGGCCTTCGTGTCATGGTTTGTGAATTCCACGACTGCGCATGTCGCGGGTAGCAGTATGTCCCAAGACACACGTTCGCAGGCGTGTGAAAGCGGTGGGTGTTTGGATATGTTCCTGCTGCAGGGCGAGTTGTTGTACGAGGTTCAGATGGATACCGATCAAAAAATGCCTGGTGACATCACGGTGAACAGTTCACAGCGTAAGGGGTCACTGGCTGTGTCGTCTGCACCAACAGGAGCACCAACGTCAGCACCGACCACATGTGTAGACGCAGACAATGGAGCTACGAATAGATTTGGCAATTCTTGCGCTGTCTATAGCTACGACCCTGATGCCCCATATATCAGTATATGCTTGGATCCGTATTATGACGACGATGACTTCAGCTCTTCAATGTGCTGCGTGTGTCCCGAGGAGTGCCCTGCTGTAGAATATGTTACTCACCCAGCAGGCTGTGAGGATTGGGTTCAGTTTTTTGGTCATCAAGCTCACTCAAATCTTGGCGGATTGGGTCCAGATTATACTAAGCCCAAGGAGATGCGATATTACGGAGTTGGTAAACTTCCAAATGGAGTCATATATGATTTAGTCTACACCAACACAAGCGTCTATACTCCCCGGAACACGAATTGGAACGGCGTTTCTGGGGAACAGGCGCTTGTGAACCTCCTTGTTGGTGAGCGGGTTACTCTCCGGGCAGAGTTCGTGAGAAACCATTCTTTCTGCCCCGAGTTCCCAAATTCTCCAAAACTAACTTTCTGCGATATTGACCATTTCATAGACGGCGAGAACGAAATAATATTGCTAGACGGCGTCAGGGCGGTCTACACGATCGACGGCGACATCGATTTCGACCTAAGTTTCTTTCAGTATGGAACTTCCGTGGGGGACAGCCCCCAGCAACTGACTGGCGTGGTCTCCGAATCGATCCAATCATCCGTTCCAGGCAGGATGTCCCGCAGGTACACCTACCCCGGTGGCAAGTTTGGGATCATGTCCACTTCGCGGATGTTCGGTCACGGCTGCGACAATCCAACCGGCCCGAATGATTTAATCAACATCACTTGTCCAGACGAGACGGCCGTCCCTGTTGACCAAGCGAAGCGGTGTTTCATGGCCGAGTTCGACAATGTCAGTTCGTTCGAAATCGGATTCAGGATCCTCAATGCATACTCCGATGATCACGTTCATCTTTGGGGCCGTAATTTCGGCTTGGGCGGGACGTCGAATTTCTTCGCTGAGGCGGGGAGCTTCACGTGTGCTCAGGAATACTTCGACAGTATTCGAACGCCTTCGCCGACGCCTTTCCCGACGGCCTTGCCAACAGCAGCACCGACGGCGGCTCCCACAGCTGCGCCGACGGCGTCCCCGACGGCCTCGCCCACAGCAACACCGACGGCGGCTCCCACAGCTGTGCCGACGGCCTCCCCGTCCCCGTCCCCGACGAGCTCGCCAACAGCAGCACCGACGGCTTCGCCAACAGCAGCACCGACGGCGGCTCCTACAGCTGCGCCGACGGCCTCCCCGACGGCCTCGCCAACAGCAGCACCGACGGCGGCTCCCACAGCTTTGCCGACGGCCTCCCCGTCCCCGTCCCCGACGAGCTCATCAACAGCAGCACCGACGGCTTCGCCAACAGCAGCACCGACGGCGGCTCCTACAGCTGCGCCGACGGCCTCCTCGACCCCGTCACCGACGACCTCGCCAACAGCAGCAACGACGACCTCGCCAACAGCAGCACCGACGGCGGGTCCCACAGCAGCACCGACGGCCTCCCTGACCCCGTCACCGACGACCTCGCCGACGGCTGCACCGACGGCGGCTCCTACAGCTGCGCCTACGACATCTCTGACCCCGTCTCCGACGACCTCGCCGACAGCCTCGCCGACGGCAGCACCGACGGCGGCTCCCATACCGACAGCCCCGCCGACTGATCAAAACGGGAATTCCGGAACTTTCTTCACGATTGCGCCGACGGCTTCGCCAACAGCAGCAGCGACGGCGGTTCCCACAGCTGCGCCGACGGCCTTCTCGACCCCGTCACCGACCGCCTTGCCAACAGCAGCACCGACGGCCTCGCCAACAGCTGCACCGACAGCCTCCCCGACCCCGTCACTGACGGCCTCGCCAACAGCAGCACCGACGGCGGGTCCCACGGCTGCACCGACGGCCTCCTCGACCCCGTCACCGACGACCTCGCCGACGGCTGAACCGACGGCGGCTCCTACAGCTGCGCCTACGGCGTCCTCGACCCCTGCACCGACGGCTTCGCCAACAGCAGCAGCGACGGCGACTCCTACAGCTGCGCCGACGGCCTCCCTGACCCCATCACCGACGACCTCGCCGACGGCCTCGCCGACGGAAGCACCGACGGCGGCTCCCACACCGACAGCCCCGCCGACTGATCAAAACGGGAATTCCGGAACTTTCTTCACGATTGCGCCGACGGCTTCGCCAACAGCAGCAGCGACGGCGGCTCCTACAGCTGTGCCGACGACCTCCCTGACCCCATCACCGACGACCACGCCGACGGCCTCGCCGACGGCAGCACCGACGGCGGCTCCCATACCGACAGCCCCGCCGACTGATCAAAACGGGAATTCCGGAATTTTCTTCACGATTGCGCCGACTGCTTCGCCAACAGCAACACCGACGGCCTCCCCGACCCCGTCAGCGACGACCTCGCCAACAGCAGCACCGACGGCGGGTTCCACAGCTGCACCGACGGCCGCCCTGACCCCGGCACCGACTTTCGTTACTGTTGCGCCGACGGCCTCGCCGACTACGATGAGTGCGACTGGCGACCCGCATCTTGTAAATCTGCACGGGCAGCATTTCGACTTGATGAAACCTGGCGTCCATGTCCTTCTTCATGTGCCCTTCAAGGCGCGTCCATCGCAAGTGGTTCTCCTAGTGGAGGCTGACGCCCAGAGGATAGGGGGTGATACTTGCGCGGATACGTACTTCATGAGCATCAACATAACGGGAAAATGGGTAGAGTCCAAAGTCCACGCGCTCGGGATGGCTGGCGGCGGACTCTCCTTCAGCGCGGGCTCCGGGAAAGTCCACACTGGCACGAAGTGGATATCTTTCGGGAAAGTGATGTTGAAAGTGGTGCACGGTCGCACAAATACAGGCATAGCATACTTGAATTTCTTCGTCCGCAACTTGCGTCACGCGGGCTACCTCGTGGGAGGGCTCCTAGGGGAGGACGATCACGAGGATGCGACCACCGTGAGCAGCGCCTGCAAGAACGTCGTCGACATCTGAGGCCGGCCCCTATTCCTTCCCCTCCCCCTTCCCCTCCTCTCTCTTGCGCTCTCGGTCTGAGGAGAAGAGGTCGACAGGGCCTGCCAGGCCAAAAAACGAGCTGCGGCTTGAGAAGCCCCAGCGAGCGAATGCGGTCGGAAAGCGGTTGACCTGCAGACGACATGCGTGTTGGCTTGGGCCCTCGATTCGGCGGCGAGCGAGGGGGGGAGGTTAGAAGGAGAAGGCCATCTCGGAAGGCGGCGGGGCTTATCAGAAGCGCTCCGGCATTCTGAGAGGTGTTCTGTGCCTTCGGGAAGGCTTCGAAAAGGTCTCAGAAGGTCGGGGGCCTTCTGAGCCTTCAGAAAAAACGCAGGGAAGGGACGTCCGAGCGATGGCCGGGAGCAGGCCCGCCCCCTCCCCACCTTCCCCCCCCAAGGCCCGCCGCCGATCGACCCCGTCCGGCGGGAGCGGAGGAGCCCTCCACCCTTTTGCTGCTAGGTTCTGCTGTGGTCTCTAGTTCGGCGGCGGCCGGCGCCTGCGCTCGGATGCAACTCCTGGGAGGTCGAGTTCTGTTCTCGCCCTGGTCCTAAATCCAGCCCAATCCCGCGGAATGCCAGCTTAGTCTTGCTTGGCCCGAGGCCCACTCCGGCGTAACAGCTCCCAAATGGGGCCGGATCCTCCCTAATCTTTCCGACGAACACCTCCCAGCAGTTGCCTCCTGACCTGTGCATGCCAAGGCATCGGACCTGCACGAGGCTGGTGGCGCCCCCCTCCTTGTGGCGCCCCCCTGCGCCCGAACACCAGAGGGCAGAAAGAGCTGAAAAGCATCCGGATCAGCGGATCGCTCGAGAGCGCTGCCTGCACGGACGGGCACTCCAGGTCTCTCAATGAGCGTGGGGGGAAGGATCGCGAGGGGGGGTGGGAGACTGCTGTCCTTCGGGGGGCGTGGGGAGGTTGGGGAGCGAGAGGGGGTAGGTTTGGGGCGCGTGGGGGGGCGGACAAGGGCGTCGGACAGGTTGGCCCGGGGGGGGGGGGCTGATTGAAGGATCCGGAGTACAGAACATGGGGCGGGGCTAGGTCGGATATAGCCAGGATCACGGGAAAGGGGAGCCGGTTAGTGGTTGGGCCCCGAAGCCCAGGCAAATGACCAGAAGCACCAAACAAAGTCTGCCGCAGTTGATGTTTCTTCGGGCGACGGCAGTTCTGGTCAGGGGACTGCGGCGTGGAGGGCGTCCCTTGTACACATCATTAAACCAGGTCCCACTAAAACCCAGTCCCGCCAACGCCCGACTAGGACCGGGATAAATCATTCCAGAGCGTCCCGGAACGCTCTCCCTGGAACGGCCGCGGCGCCCGAAACATGTTCTAGCGCCACCGGATCTCAGAGATCCCCGATTTACGCATTTTGGTCCGATGTTGTCCCAGTCCTCGATCCGTATTGGAACAGCTCCGTCAGCATCACAGGAGCCGCCTGCTCCTGTGATGCTGACAGGGCTGTTACTGCTTCGAGCAGGAACTGTGGATGTGGGCAGGTTTCGCTTCTCCCGAGTTCCAGGGAGATTCCTGCGGCGGTTGTGGAAGCGGCGGCCAGGGTGCCGCCAGACTGGTTGGAAACCCAGGGTGGCGCGCACGCGTACGTAGCCGCTCTTGTCCACGACCACGCGTGCCACCCTGCAACGTCCGGTGCTGTCGGGCAACGTCTGGCGCGCGCAGAAGGGGGGGGGGACGGCACGAGCGTGGCGGCCCTCTACAAGAAGGCAGCGAGCTCCTCCTCCCTCCACCTCCCTCCTCCTCCTCCTCCTCCTCCTCCTCCTCCTCCTCCTCCCTCCTCCTCCCTCCTCCTCCTCCTCCTCATCATCATCATCATCCTCCTCCCCTCCTCCTCCTCCTCTTCCTCCTCCTCCTCCTCCCTCCTCCTCCTCCTCCTTCTCCTCCTCCTCGGGAAGGCCCCTCGGTGATAAGGAAGGAGGGGCTCCCAAGAAGCGGGGGATCTTCCGAGTCCCGCCATCCCCTGCCAAGTCCAGTCAAGTGGACCGTGCCCAGACGGCACATCGGTTGCAGATCGCAGGCGCGAGTGTATGTACAGCAGCACGCCAGCGTCGACAGGGCAAGGAGCAAGGCACAACACCGCCCGTCGCCGGCTCCGGCTCCATGGGCAGGGATTCTCTAAACATCCGCGCAAGCATGCCCGACCCCGCCAAAACGCCCACGCCGCGGACGACCCGGCAGAAGTCTCGGCAAGTGCTGGACACGAGACCTCCAGCCGAGGGCCTGCTGCTTCTAACCCGTGGGTCCCTCGAGCCTGCACCAGCACCAGCTTCGCTGTCCCGGCCAGTTGTTGATAGCCCTGGGGCTTGGAAAGAGCCTCCAGGAGACCTAGATTCGGAGGTTGATAGACTTCCTACCCTGACACGTCGATTCATGATTTGGCCGTTTTCAGTTTGCGAGAGGGCGTCGCGGCCGTCATTTTTGCGGGCCCAGGTCCGTCGGTTTCGGTCCCAGGCCGTTTTCACGAAGGGGAGGTTTATGTAAGGGAGGTTTGCCCACCGCCGACAAATCAAACTCAGGAAGCACGCTTGTTTCGAAGACGACAAAAACGCCATAAACATAAACTTCTAGCGCTCCGCGCGGATTTCTCGGATCCGCGCGGGGGCCCCCCCCGCGGCGCCTCCGGCGCCGCCCTTGGCGCGCGGAGCGCGCCAGGGGAGGGGGGTCCAGCGCGGGTCCGAGGAATCCTCGCGGAACGCCAAAAGTTTGTGTTTATGGCGTTGTTTCTTCTTCTACTCCAGGAGTCGGGCCGAACGAAAGGGGGGGATAGGGAAAGGGGGGGGTACGAAATCTGCTGCATGCAGCTGGTTTCCGCTCCGCCGCCGGGTCCATTCCTCGGTAAGTGGGCGCCTCCCGGCGCCGGGAGGCGCCAGAAAAATCAGCTACGTGAGCTGATTCTAAAACCCCCCCTTTGCTATCCCCCCCTTTCGCCCAGCCCGAAGGAGGCCTAAATCAGTCTCGGGAAAAGCGCTTGTTGAAAAGAACAGCAGCTCCGAACGTCTGCACGCGTCGGAGGGCGCCAACGAAATTCATGAGGAGGAAAACGACACACACACACACACACACATTGAATCATCGACTCCCAGGAAAAAAATTGAAAATATGGGAGAAGACGAAAGCCCAGAAAATATGGGAAACTGCAGGAAGTGAGGGGGGCGTCGCAAACCCAGAAAATATAATAAAATATGGGGGGTCCTGGGATCTGTGTTTATTTATTTGTATGTCCCAGGGCCCCTTAATATGAGCCTGAATCGATCCTGGCCGGGCCGATCTTAGGCCTAGGATCGGTGTAGATGTTTTCCTGTCCAGGTCAGAAGGGCGTATACGCCGATCCAGGGCCCAAGATCGGCGTCCTCCTCCTCCTCCTCCTCCTCCTCCTCCTGCTCCTCAGCTCCTCCTCCTCGTCCCCCTGTCGCTATCGGAACCTCGTCGGGCGCCTATTATACACCTGCGCCGACCCTGACCAGGCCTATCTTGGGCCTTGGTTCGGTGTGAATCCCTTCCTTCCTGCTCAAGCCAGAAGAGCGTATGCACCGATCCTGGGCCCAGGTTGATCCTGGCCATGATCGGTGTAGGTGTATAGTTTCGAAGACGAAAAAACGCCATAGACATAAACTGTTGGCGCTCCGCGCGGATTTTTCGGATCCGCGCTGGGCCCCCCGGCGGCGCCACGGGCGCCGCCCCTGGCGCGCGGAGCGCGCCGGGGAGGGGGGTCCAGCGCGGATCCGAGAAATCCGCGCGGAGCGCCGGAATTTTATGTTTTTGTCTTTGTTCTTCTTCTAGTATGGCTAGTGTTCTCTGACCGTGCTACGGCCCGCCGCTGGTCGCGGCACCGCGACGCCAAGAAGTATAGCCGGTGCTTTCTGAACGCGCGCACGCTGCCCCTGCCACCGCTCGGCGAATGCTCGCTCCCGCAGGTGCCACGACGACCCCCGTCGACCACGACGACGAGAACGCCCTGGGGCTCCCGCTGGGCATCGCTCGGACGTGTGAATTTTTCTCGGCGAGAACCATCGAGGACCATCCTGGACCATCGACCAAAAAAAAACACGCACGGAGCCGAAACATGCACGGAAAATGGACGTCCGAGCGATGGCGGGCCCGAGGACTCCAGGGGCCCCCAGAGATCCAGAGATGCCAAGACGGCACAAACGTTCGACGTTCGAGCCGCGATCCTCACTCGTCGGCCCTCTGTCGACGAAGGCAACGTGATGACGACGGCGAAGGCGACGCCGACGGCAAACGCGACGACGACGACGACGACGACGACGACGACGACGACGACGAGCCAAAGCCGAGGCGCCGCGTCGCCCGCGGTCGGCGCCGCGGGCGCGGCCCACGCGCAGGCCGCCTTCGCCACCGCTGCCCACGGCGACGCCACCGACGACGACGCTGCCCACGGCCGCCGCGTGAGCCGCCGCCGCCGCCGACAGCGACGATGACGGCGCCACCCCCGATGCCGCCGCCGATGTAGTGACAACGACGACGACGCCGACGCCGACGCCGACGTCGACGACGCCGGGTGGGGCGAGGCCGCCGCCGACGACGGCGACGCCGCCGACGACGACGACGACGACGCCGACGTCGACGCCGACGCCGCCTACGGCGACGCCGACTTTTATGTTGCCGCCGACGGCGACGGCGTTGACGTCCCTGGGGCGTCCAGGCCGCTGGCGCGTCCGCCTCTGCGGCCGCGGCGGGGGCTGCCTGCCTCTTGGGCGCAGGGGCATCCCTGCTGGCCTCGCAGCAGCGCCGCCGAGGCGCCAGTCCTCGTCGTCGTCGTTGTCGTCGGACCTTGCGGGTGACCTTACGGGAGACCGTACGGAAGGCGAGGTTGGAGAGACCAGTTGGGAGACACACGGGAGACCCTGCAAGAGACAGTGCGGGAGTCCACCGGCCACGAATTCGGGGTCTGGAGGACTTCACACATGGCCCGAAGAGAGAGAGAGAGAGAGAGAGAGATGTGTGTGTGTATGTGTGTTTGTGCATGTATGTATGCGTGCCCATCGGTCGTTGAAGAGATTACAATCTACTTTAAGCGCATTCCTACTTCAATGATCGAGTGGCTTCACCGTTTCCGTCCTCGTTCGGGGGCGGGCGGACACTCATTCTACGTTCAGCGCCTTCCTACTTCATGTTCCTACCTACTTATTGTATGTACGTATGTATATATACATACATACATACATACATACATATACATATACATATACATATACATATACATATACATATACATATACATATACATATACATACATACATACATACATTCATGCGTACATACATACATACACACATACATACATACATACATGCATGCATGCATACATACATACATGCATGCATGCATACATACATACATACATACATCCGTACATATGTATACATTCATTCATTCATACATACATACATACACATGCATACATACATACATTCACATGTCTATACATACATACATACATACATACATACATACATACATACATACTTACTTACATGCATGCATGCATGCATGCATACATACACACATGCATGCATACATACATACATACACATACACATACACATACACATACACATACACATACACATACACATACACACATACACATACACATACACATACACATACACATACACATACACATACACATACACATACACATACACATACACATACACATACACATACACATGCATACATACATATATATATACATACATACATACATATATATATATATATATATATATGTATACCGGGGACGTGGCCGCCCCGCCCAGGGACCTCGGCAGGGCATGGGGGGCCGGGGCCTTACTTTCTTTGTATTTTTTGAAGGTTTCGGCCACCCAGAGCCACCAGAGCCCCGGGGGACGTGGCCGGGGGGGTCCCGCCCAGGGACCTCGGCAGGGCATGGGCGGCCCGTTTTTTCCTGGTTTCGGCCGCCCGGAGCCACCAGAGCCCCGGGGGGCGTGGCCGGGGAGGGTCCCGCCCAGGGACCTCGGCGGCGCATGGGGGGCCCGGGGCCTTACTGTCCATTTGTTTTTATAAGGTTTCGCCGGCTTGGAGCCACCAGAGCCCCAAGAGGTTGCAGGAGGGGGCTCCAGGGGCTGCTCCCGCCTGGTGCCCCAGGTCTCCCACAGGCCTCCCAGAGCCCTCCAGGAGAGCTCCCCGAAGCTCACACATTTGGTTGTCCGATCGTTTTTTCCCACGTTTCTCTCCATGCAGCCTGTCCTGCATCCCCACGCTGCGCGGCAGCCCCAGAGGACGCCCAAAACGTCCCAGTTCGGACCCTGACTCCCAGACGCTCCCAACCTTGTCCCCAGATAGCTCTGCATGGGAGGATCGGCGCGCCCCAGTAGTGTCACAGAGCGGCCGGGGACGCTCCAAGATCCGTGCGACGCCGACTATCACCCCAAGACAGCCCCCGAGCGACTTCGTCGACACGTCATGCTTCCAAGAGGCTTCCCCAGAGAGCTCTCTGAGACCTTACCTTTTGTTTGTCCCATGGTTTTCCTACGTTTTCTTTCATCCAGCTTGTTCTGCATCCCCACGCTGCACGGCAGCCCAAGAGGACGTCCAGACCGATGTGTTTCGGGGCCCTGGGTCTCCCAACGGTGATTCAAGACGGCTCCGCACGTGAGGGCCGGCGCCCCCAAGTAGGCTCCACGAGCCGCCAGAGTCGCTCCCAGGCCTGCGACGCCGACGATCGCAGACAGCCCCCCGAGCGACTTCGTCGACACGGCACGCTTCCAAGAGGCCTCCCCGGAGGGCTCTTTGAGGCCTTACTCCTTGTTCGTTTCCAATGTATTTTTCTACGCTTTTAATCATCCAGCTTGTTCTGCATCCCCACGCTGCACGGCAGCCCAAGAAGGCGCTCAGACCGATGTGATTCGGGCCCCTGGGGCTCCCGAGCGCGATCCAAGACGGCTCCGCATGGGAGGACCAGCGCCCCCAAGTAGTTAGGCTCCACGAGCCGCCAGAGTCGCTTCCAGGCCTGCGCGACGCCGACGATGGCCCCATGACAGCTCTCCAGGCCACCTCGCCAGCAAAAGAAGCTTCGCAGAGGCTCCCCACAAGGGCCCCTGGAGGCTCAAATCATATTTGTTCCTTTGGTTTCTCCGAGGTCTCTGGCCTCCCAGCCTGTTCTGTTTCTCGACGGTGCAAGCTCGTCCTAGAGGTCCCCAAGATTGCCCCGCTACAGATCCAGAGGCTCCCAACCGTGCCCCATGATGGCACCAGAGGGCACCCTGACGGCTGAAGCGCAGGAGCCCCGAACACCCCAACACGGCCGAATGGGGCCACGAGAAAGGCCTGGGGGCCTTTGCGGTCGCCAAGGGCGGTCTCGACACTGCTGATTGCGTCTCTACGCCCCACGACCGAGCCAAAGACTTGTCACAGAACACAAAACAAAACAACAACAACAACAACAACAACAACAACAACAACAACAACAACAACAACAACAACAACAACAACAACAACAACAATTACTAGCACGTGGGGACACGCCGTTCTCACCAGTGCCAGGGTTTTCATGGGACGCCGGCCAATACCCCCACTTTGTGGGGGGGCAGTTCAAGCTCTCCCAAATTTCCAAACGACTCTTCGCGACCACCCACACCCAGCTTCCCGCCCTATGACGTTCGGACACTTCACTTCGTGGCATGCGGACGACCTTGGCTACTACACTGGCGCATGGGTACAGTGACTTGTTGTGGTAACATTTTCTGGACGCTAGCTTAGTATACGACTTTTCCCACTTTTCAAACACTCGACACCTGTACTGGTTTTTGATGGTAACATGTTTCTGACGCTAGAATAGGAAACCACGGTATACCAGTACGACGCCGGTACTGTCTGTCGGGCCTACAATGATATTGACTGCTATGGTTGGTGAGGCGCTAGCGTCTGATACGACGTTTTTCCGTTTCTGTACCCCACTAGCGAATACACTTATTTTGAGTGGTACCACGTGGGTGGCGCCAATGTATATACGTGCGCGCGAAAGTCGCCCGCGAAGCCCCGATGGACAGGAATGTGGAAAAACCAGTAGTTCTTGAAAGATTCAGCGAGAGCGCGCGGGTGGATTTTCAGATTTTTTGGATGAGAAAGTCGTACGTTTTCATATGTTCTATTGAAGTCGTAGCTTGAAATTGTTGAAATCACCGTGTGTTTGGCAGGATTTCGAGGTGCGCGCGCGGCGGCCGCGCGCATGTGCCCCGCGTGTCATTTTTTGCCAGGGATGGTGGCCCTCGCAGGCGCGCAGACGAAGTTGAAACAGTTCGAGGTGAGCGCAAAAGTTGCCCTCGAAGCCCCGTTTGATAGGAACGTTGAAAAACAATTGGTTCTGGAAGGATTCAGCATGCGCGCGGGGGCAGATTTTCGGAATTTTTGGATGAGAAAGTGATGTGTTTTCATATGTTTGTTTGACATCGCATCTTGAAATTGTTGAAATCACAGTGTGTTTGGCAGGATTTCGAGGTGCGCGCGCGGCGGCCGCGCGCATGTGCCCCGCGTGTCATTTTTTGCAAGGGATGGTGGCCCTCGCAGGCGCGCAGACGTTGTTGAAGCAGTTCGAGGTGAGCGCAAAAGTTGCCCTCGAAGCCCCGTTTGATAGGAATGTTGAAAAACCATTGGTTTTGGAAGGATTCAGCATGCGCGCGGGGGCAGATTTTCAGAATTTGTTGATGAGAAAGTGGTGTGTTTTCATATGTTTCCTTGACATCGCATCTTGAAATTGTTGAAATCACCGTGTGTTTGGAAGGATTTCGACATGCGCGCGCGGCGGCCGCGGCGATGTGCATTTCGTGACATTTGTTGCAATGGATTCTTGAAATGTGGTTATGTTAGAACAAGAAATGTCATTTTATATTGTTTTTTGCAAGGGAAAGCGGGGGGGAACAAAACAACCGGATCTGGATCACATCGTTTTGTCAAGGGTTTTCGCTCGAAAATGATGAAAACAAGGCTGCGGCCTAGATAAAACGGGGGGGTCGCGCACCAGAGGTCCCAACAATAATATTTCTTTAGAAGCAATTACATTCAACAACAACAACAACAAAAAAGAGAGAAACAAAAAAAACGGGGAGGAGAAGGAGGACGAGGACAAGGAGGAGGGGAACGATGAGGACGAGGAGGAGGAGGAGGAGGAGGAGGAGGAGGACCGCAAATACACAGCCCAAGAGGCTTCCAAGAGGCCTCATGAGAGCTCCAACAGGCGTGAATGCTTGATTCCAAAGTGTTTGTTGTTCGAATGTGTTTCGGTTTTTCGCGTTCTCGACCTGTCTCAGACGGCCCAAGAGAGCCCCAGGACAAGCCCAAGCTGGGCCACAGGTCGGGAGCGGGAGGCCCCAACGCGCCCCAAGACGGCCCAGATGGCCCCAACGTTGCCCCTGATGGGCCCAACATGGCCAATACACAACCCAGGAGCCCTCCAAGAGGCCCAAAGAGAGCTTCGAGAGGCGTCGCGAGAAAGCCCGAAGTGGCCAACATCCTTGATTCCCGGCTGTTGTTTAAAATGTGTGTTCGCTCTCTCGCGTTCTCGAAGTTCCACGCTCCAAGACGGCCGAAGACGCCCCGAAGATCGCCCCAACACCGCCGAAGAGGCCCCAAAAATAGCCCCAAGACGGCCCGGAGAGCCTGAAGAATGCCCGAGAGCAGCCCAAGATTGCCCAAGATAATCCCAGGAGGGGCACAACATGGGCCCCAGAGCGGGAACGGGAGGCCCCAAGGCGCTCCAGGACGGCCCAGATGATTCCAACGTGGCCCCAGAGGAGCTCAAGACGACAAACACACAGCCCAAGAGGCTTCCAAGAGGGCCCACGAGAGCCCCGAGAGACGTCCCGAGAGAGCCCAAAGAAGCACGAATCATTGATTTGCATAGGTTTGTTCGATGTGTGTTCGTTTTCTCGCGCTCTCGAGCTTCCAGTACTCGAAGACGGCCGAAAACGCCCCCAAGACCGCCCCAAGACCGCCGAAGAGGCTCCCAAATGAGCCCCAAGACGGCCCCAGGGAACCCGAAAACTGCCCAGCAGGAGCCCCTGACGGCCCAAGAGAGCCCCAGGACAGGCCCAAGCTGGGCCACAGAGCGGGAGCGGGAGGCCCCAACGCGCCCAGATGGCCCGGGCCTCCCCCCATCCGTCCTTCCTTCCCTTCCACCCTTCCCCTTGCCTCCATGCCCTCCTCTCTCCTTTTTCCCCCCCTCACCCCTCAGCTTTCGTGTTCCTCCGTCCTTTTTTGGACGGCCCCGCCAGAGCGCCAGACAGCCCCCGCCAGAGCGAGCGGGGTAGTCATCATGTCAGTTATCATTTCACCCGTTGTTTTGCCCCTTTCCCACCCCTCAAGGGCGGCCCCTGCAGAGCGAGAGGGGTGTTGCTATACCATATACAGTCCCTGTTTTGTTTTGCTCCTCCCACCGCACCCGAGGCAACCCTGTCATAGCGCACGGGATGTGGCTATACCATAATTTTCCTGTGGTTTCGCGCTCCTCCCTCCCCTCCTGGGCAAGCCCCGCCAGAGCGCCAAGGAAACCCCCGCCAGGGAAACCCCCGCCAGAGAGAGCAGGGCACCCTTACACGATATTACTCCACACGGTTCTTGCTTTTCTAACCCTTGCAGGGCGGACCCGCCCGAGCGAGCGGGGCGTGGCTAAATAATACAATTTCTCTGGGTTCGCGCCCCTCCCTCACCTCCTGAGAGGCCTCGCCAGAGCGCCAAGAAGTCTCCGCCAGAGGCCCTGTCAGAGCTCCAGGCAGCCCCATTAATGGGACTTGCCAGGCAAATCATCGAGCATCCCCCGTGAGTCCGAACCTTCGGAAACCACGGGTGCGATTCTCGCAAGCATGAAGTTCGGCGTCCAGCGCAAAGAAGTTTCCCCACTCCCGTGGACGGACTCGACAACAATTGATTGCAGAGAAGGGCACTGCTGCTGCGCGCGCCCTCTGCTGATACCCGACAGCTGAACGACCGCTGAAAACGAGAAGCCTGGAGCACGAGGAAAAGGAACAAAAAACGTAGTGCTCCCACGCGCGCGCAGCGAGGCCCCGTCCCAACCCCAACATCAGGAGCGGGCTCATGTCTGCGCGATCGGGCATGGGAAGACCGAACAGATGTGCAAAATAATTGAGTGCTACGACGGGGCAGAGCTGAAGTGAAAGTGGAGAGAAAAGCGCAGTTTGATAAACCGAACAAAGGCGGCAGTGATATTTTGAGATACGCGGGAACGTGGTTCCCCGCGTTCTGACCACGTTCTTCGCGTCGATGGAATGGGCCCGAGAACGCAGGACATCGTCGTTGTGGCCACAGCGGGGCTTACAGCGGCACCCGTGGTTCATCTGCGACTAGAACCTAAGCGCGCGCGTAGCGTGCACGTGGTTCTAGCGTGTGTGTATATATATATATATGTACAGGACCTTCACAGACAAGCTGTTTGGGAAACAATGCCTGGATGAAGTTCCTTACCAGATTCGTGGGTCACTTTGGCCTTTTCAGCGTGTGTTGTCCCAAGGGTTCTTCATGGCCCCGGATCGCTAGGATAACAACTCCAGACAACAACCCGCTCTCGGCAAACAGCCGAGTCGCCGGAAATCCGGGAATTACACATATGGATGCAGTGTCCCCGTCTTCGGCCCATTATTATCCCATCGTGTCTCAAGGCGCCAATGCAATTGATTCAGCATGGGCGTCCAAGGGTTTGGTGCCATTGCTGTGGGCGCTGACTGCATCAAGGCTACATTCTGGAGACAAGAGCGCAGGACGAGAACGCAGAGGAGGGAGGAGAAGGTGGACGGGGAGGTGGACAAGGGGGAGGAGGAGAAAAGCGGGAGGGGGGGAGGCGACGACGAGGACATTGAGCAGGACGGGGGAGGTGCAGGAGCAGCAGGAGAGGGGGACGACGACAAGGAGGAGCAGGACAGGGGAGCATGGCGGGAGGGGGCGAGGAGGAGGAGGAGGAAGAGGAGGAGGAGGAGAGCGAGGTGGGCAAATGATTCGAAGGAAAAGGAGGAGGAGGAGGAGTAGGAGGAGGAGGAGGAGGAGGAGGGAGGAGGAGGAGGAGGAGGAGGAGGAGGAGGAGGAGGAGGAGGAGGACGGGGAGGAGGAGGGGAGGAGGAGGAGGAGAGGAGGAGGAGGAGGAGGAGGAGGAGGGGTCGGGGTGGAGGGAAAAGGAGGCCGTGGAGCAGCATGAGAAGCACAACGACGATGAGTAGGATGACAAGCAGGACGCCATGCCTCTAAGGACGTCCTGCTCCTCATCCTCCCCCTCCATCCGCATCCTTTATTCATCTTCCTGTCGCTCTCCCTCCCGCCTCCCCGCCCCTCTTTTTATTTTTGTTATTCAAATACCTCTTTTCCCTCTTCCTCCTTCCCCGCCGACCCATCCTTCCAGCAGGAATCCGCCAAGACTCAAAGACGATCCCTGGAACCTTTCTGCGCCTCTTCCTGTCTGGTCTTTCGCGCATCATCCATCCGTGGCGAGAAAGGGGGGGGGGGGGGGGGGGGCGAAAGGCCTGTGAAAGGGAGCGGAAGCAGCAGCAGGAACATGAGAGGGAGGCCCTTTTCATCCTCCCTGGTGAGAGGCGTGGTTTATTGACGCGAAGAACTGCCGAAACAGGTCGACATGAACCTTGCGGAGTGTTTTGCTTGCCCACGCACGTTTAGAGCAGTACGTTGGGCAGCGGCCCTTCACGGACTTGAAATGAACTTATCATGCTCCGAAGACTTCGGAGAACCACTGAGCACCACCAGGCCCGCTAGACAGGCTGTTTTGCCGACCCAGGCCCTGACCCTTGGAGGCCCGAAAAAGGACTCCCAGACGCCCAGAAGCCACCCGAACACAAGCAAGCACGTCCCTCCTCGATCCCCGCTTGACTTCACACTCCTCAGCCAGCGCTGCAGCAACAGCCGATGAAGCGCGAGCGGGGCGCCGGCGCACACTGCAGGCGCACGCCTGACGCACGCGCTCGAGCGAGGGCCGCGTCCGCCGTCCTCCTGAGGTCAGCGGCGGTCCAGTGCGAGCGTGTCGTGCAGTCAAGAGCAGCAGCAGCAGCAGCAGCAGCAGCAGCAGCAGCAGCAGCCATCCTTGGAGGCTCGATCAGAGGAGCAGAGAGTCGTGGCACTGATGCGTCCCGAGGTTCCTAGGGCTCCCTGTCTTTCCGCGAGGACTCCCGGAACGAGGGCCGGCAGCAACTCCTCCTCCTCCTCCTCCTCCTCCTCCACCTCCTCCCCCCCCTCCTCCCCCTCCTCCTCCTCCTCCTCCTCCTCCTCCTCCTCCTCCTCCTCCTCCTCCTCCTCCTCCTCCTCCTCCTCACGCCAGAACTTTTCGAGCGTGTCCCGAGCCAGCTGTGTCTCGACGTCGTGTCGCGCGGCGGCCGTCCTGGAGGGCCCCGCGGAGGTGCCCGCAGGGATGCCTGGGAAGGGTCGGACGCGTCCAGGTCGGGGCCCTGGAGGCCAGGTTACACAAGGGCGCCCTCGAGGGCGCGAAGTTATTCGCGCTTCGCGGTTCGGCTCCGATTCATCCTCATCCTCCTCTTCTCCCCTGGGAGGCGGCGCGAGAGCGCGAAGTTATGCGCACTTCGCGCTTCGCGCAGCGCGAAGCGCGAAGTTGGGAGCCCTTTGTCACAGTCGGCCCAGATTAGTAGGTCGACCCTGCCAAATCAAGGGTACCCTTGTCTCCTGTGTCTCGCGACCCATGCTTCCTACATTCCTGTGGCAATGTGGCCCTCGGAAGGGTCTTGTGTCCTCTCGCGTGTCCTGTGCACTCGAGTCCGACTGTAGGTCAGGTCAGGTCCCCAGCTGGAGAATTGATTATGGAGGATGCTTCGACCCACGGCTTCAATTTTCCCTGGCGCGCCAGAGTTTTGATTTGTCAGAGATCCCTTCGTATGCTCGTCCCTGACCAGCGACCTGTACACTCCTCCTCCTCTTCCTCCTCCTCCTCCTCCTCCTCCTCCTCCTCCTCCTCCTCCTCCTCCTCCTCCTCCCCCTGTCGCTATCGGAGCCTCGTCGGGCGCCAACGATACACCTGCACCGACCCCGACCAGGCCCCTCCTGGGCCCTGGTTCGGTGCACACGCCCTCCCGGCCAAGGCGCGGAGGGCGTGTGCACCGACCGTGGGCCCCACCCTGGCCCTGGCCAGAGTCGGAACAGCTTGGGCTCGGGAGGGGCTCGAGGTTCCTTGGGTCCTCTCATGGCTGTTCCTCTGGCCCTCCTCGTGCACGCAGGCGCTCCTGGTGCCAAAAAGGGGCCTCGTTCCGTATTTGAGGCGTGATCGAAGGAGTTGTCATCTCTTCCGCGGCGAAAGCTGGCGGACGGGCGGCGGAAGGCGGCAGACGTAAGAGATGCGCCCCCGGAGGTGAAGACGTTTTGGGTTCATGGTTTCCGAAAACGCCCATTTAACGTTCCTGATTCCAGCGGCTCGACGGTAGCTGGCGCGCTCCTGCCCGCGCCGTCGCATCCTGGGCAGCCTCCTCCTTGGCCAGAGGAGGAAGAGAAGGAGGAAGAGGAGGAGGAGGAGGAGGAGGAGGAGGAGGAGGAGGGGAAGGAGGAGGAGGAGGAGGAGGAGGGAGGAGGAGGAGGAGGAGGAGGAGGAGGAGGAGGAGGAGGGGGGAGGGGGAGGGGGAGGGGAGGGGGAGGGGGGAAGGGGAGAGGGAGGGGGAGGGGGAGGAGGAGCGGGGCGGTCGGCCCCCGGCGCGCCAACGCGCTCAGCCCCACCGCAGGCGCCGCGCGGAGCCCCACCGCGCGCCGCTTCTTCGGCGGGGGCCGCGCGCCCGAGGCGAAGGACGTCACCAAGAAGGCGCGCCCGCCGTCGCCGCCGCCCTTCGCCGCCGCGGCGGCCATGGCCGTGGGTCGAGCATTGAATCGGGCCTGTCCCCCTACAGGGGGATTTGGGGCGAAAAATTGAAAATACCCAACAATCAAGGGCAGAAAAAACGCCCCTACCCTGGTTTACGGGGCGCTTCGCGCTGAAACTCCTGTGGGCTGACAGGGTAAACCCTGCGTGATGTGCCGCGTCCTGCCGGCTCTAGGGTTTGGGGGTTTCCCAGGAGGTTTACAGACCACGCGCTTGTAACCCAGGGTAGGGTCGTTGTTTCATCCCTCAAAACTAATACCCCCAAAATGCGCAAACATTGTCCAAAAATAGTCCCCGTACTGTTTTGTTGACTATTGTAGTGGCCTCCGGCCGGTGCCGCCGATCCAGGGTGCTACCGAATCTTGGGGGCCTTTGGGGCTTCTTGGGGAGCATGCAGGAGGCATCCTGGAGGCCTCCTGGGGGTATGTAGGAGGTAATTGTTAAGCCTTCGGAAGCGCTTTTGGGCGCCTTTGGGGGGCCTCTTGAGGGCCACCTCCTGGGCGCCTTTTAGGCCATCTTCGGCCCTTCTGGGGCCTGTTAGACACTGCGAAGGCCGAAGAAGCGAAAATGGGGGAGATACAAAAAAACGTTTTCCTCAGGGAATGAAGCAGATTTTCCGTCTTTGGGCACTCTTAGGAGGTGTCGGGAGTGCACGTTGGAGGTTTTTGGAGCCGTCTGAGGAACAGATTGGGTGTATTGTAGCGATGTTTCGGCCACCTAGGGCCCTCGGGGGCCGTCTGGGCGGCCGCTGGGTTTTGTATAAGCCCGCGTTCGAGCTCCAGGGCGAGGAGCCGACCCGGAGTAAGCTAGAGCTCCGATTTTGCCACGAAAATTGACTCGACCCCCCCCCCCCTACCCTGGCAGAGCCACCCCGGCACCCACCCACCCAGCAGAGCTGAAGCTCAAGAGCTGAGGCTCAGGCTATATCTGAGGGTCTTTGAAGCTCACACGCCAGATCGGCAGATGTTTTGATATTCCTCCTGTAGAGGGACAGGCCCGACTTAAGTCGAGCAGTGGCGAAGCGTCCTGGCTTGCTTATAGGCCCACAAAAGAATGTGCTAAGAACCTCTCGTGGTCTGTACGAGAGGTCCTTGGAACATAACCGGCTGAGGATGTTTTGTTTTAGTACATCGTGTTTATGTTATGATAGCATTGCTTTTGTTGTTATAACATTGCTGGGTTCTAAGAATGCCCGAACGGCCGGTCCCTGCTCAAGTGCAGAGGGAGGGATCCCGATACGGTCGGACCGAGATAATTATATAAGATCGAGGTCGGTTTGGGGAGGATGCTCTCTAAGGCTCTTCGTGCGTGCTGGAGGTTCTCAGTGCATCCTGGGGGAGGACCCCTTCGATCAGGGGCGGCCAAGCCGATCCCTAGCACACCATCCCCTCCAGTGACGCCCCCCTCGCCGCGCCCCACGACGTGTGTATGCGGCCGGAGGGCAGCTCGAAAGGCGAGGACGACGCCACAGAGGGGGATGGTTTGCGAGGGGTCGCTTAGGCCACGCCCGACTCGAGCGTTTCTGCCCAGTGCTCCTCGGGTAGTGCTCTCGAGGAGTGCTCCTCGGGTAGCACTCTCGAGGAGTGCTCCTCGAGGAGTGCTCTCGAGGAGTGCTCCTCGAGGAGTGCTCTCGAGGAGTGCTCCTCGAGGAGTGCTCTCGCGGAGTGCTCCTCGAGGAGTGCTCCTCGAGGAGTGCTCCTCGAGGAGTGCTCTCGCGGAGTGCTCTCGCGGAGCGCTTCGGCCGGCGCAGGGCCCCGCTGCTCTCCGAGGAGTGCTCTGCCGTCCCAATGGGTCCCTCCGGCGCGTGGCGCGCGGCCCTCCCCGCGCCGCCACGGTCGGGCGCTCGCTGGGCAGGCCGGCCACCAGCTGGGGGAGCTGTGGTCCTTACAGTGCCGTTTTTTCATACATGCTCCGCGTGCGGATCGTGTATTAAAAAATGCAGGGATTTAGCATTCAAAACAACGATGGGTTCATGCACACATTTACTCATACATTGATCATGTATTACTGCATGTTTTCCCTTATACAGGGCTATATACAGGGCTACATGTTGTGGCGTCGTCCTCGCCTTTCGGCGAGTTCATCGCCCTAAAATATTGGAGTTTTTGGGGAGGGTATATACGACGCCTGTATACAGGGCTATATATGGATACTTTAAAATACAGGGCTATATGTTAAAAAATCCATGTATTAAGAACTGCCCTGTACCCCCCTGGGGGACCCATCGATTTCGACACCCCTCTCGAGAGATCGTGGACGCGATGGGTTCCCCCAGGGGGGTAAGGACCACAGCTCCCCCACTTGTGGCTGGTCGGCTAGGGTAGCAGAAAGTGACAGAAACATATAAAAACTCGGAGGCCCGCGCCGCGCGGACCTCCGAGTTGTTATGTTTATGTCACTTTTTGTTCCCCTACTCGCCTCTCGAAGTCCTGGCCGGGGGGGTGGGGGGGGGGGACGCGCCCCGGGCGAGGTCTTCGGCGTCGGGACGATCGAAGCAGAGACGGAAAGAATGGGCACGATGCCCCACAGCAGTCTCCTCCTCCTCCCTCCTCCTCCTCCTCCTCCTCCTCGTCCTCGTTCTCGTCGCCACGGCTGGACTCGCCTCGAGGTCCTGGCCAGGACGCGCCTTGGGAGAGGTCTATGGTCGGGACGGTCGACATGGGTACAGAAGGAATGGGTACGATGCTCAAGGCCTCCCAGATGTGGTCGGAGTAGATGGGGTCGGAGGATCGCGCCGCATCGCCGATGCATCGCCGATGCGGCTCGATGCGGAGCCCGATTTGCTGCACGCGGACGTCGCCGATGCATTGCCGACGTCGCCGATGCATCGCTGATGTATCGCCGATGCGGCGCGATCCTCCGACCCTAGGAGGCCTCTAGATGCCCAACAGCAGTTCCTGTTCATTTTGAACAGGACTCGCTGTCCGCGCCGCCGCGGGCGTTATCCACTCAAAGCAAGAAACCGCCCGCCCAACAGCGGCCGCTGTCAGTGTTAGGCCGTATCTGTTGTTGGGCATGGTACCCATGTCTTCCGTACCCATTTCTCAGGAGGGAAAAAACACACATACACAATGAATCGACGATTTCCCAGACAATATAAGGAAATATGGGAAGTGGGGGGGAAGACAAAAACCCAGAAAATACGGGAAAGGATGGGGGAATCATGTTATTGGTGTGCATTTCTTTGTGTGTCCCAGGGCCCCTTTAATTTCGAGCGTCCAGATTTTGAGAGCAGCAATATCGGTGCCTGTTTGTTCCTCCGATGCGGGGGGGGGTGCTCAGGGCCCCCCTGGCCCAGGGTGCCCCTCTCCGTCTTCGAGCCCCTGGGGACCCCTGGGGGCCTCGTGAGGGGTGCTCTGGAGGCCGTGGGGGGGCCTCCTTGGAACCTCTGGGGGCACCTTGGGCCAGGAGTACTTTTATCAAAACCCGGCCCATCGTCGTCGTCGTCGCTGCCCGCCAGCCGCCCAACGTACCTGCTGTCACCGTCGTGATTGTCGCTCGTGTCGTCGTATCTTCGGTGGCGGCGTCGAGGCAGGGCATCCTCATCCTGCTCCTTGGCACTTCCCTTGCTTGCCCCTTCCATGCCCTCCTCCTCCTCCTCCTCCTCCTCCTCCTCCTCCTCTTTTTTCAGGAGGGGAATAAACACACAGACACAATTAATCGTCGACCCCAGGAAATATAGGAAAATGTGGGAAGTGGAGGGAAGACAAGAGCCCAGAAAATGCATGAAAATGTGGAGAAGCCCGTTCTTCGTGTGTATTTGTCTGTGTGTCCCAGGGCCCCGTTCCATGCCCTCCTCCTCCTCCTCCTCCTCCTCCTCCTCCTCCTCCTCCTCCCCCTCCTCCTCCTCCTCCTCCTCCTCCTCCTCCTCTCCTGCGCTCGTTTCCTCCACGGGCCCTGCCGGCTTGCTCTCCGCCTGCCAGCCCTGCGCCCCGCGCCCTCACAAGAGCCCGGGGAAGACCGCGCACGGGCACGGGCCGTCCGGCTCCAGCCGTGCGGCTCCCGGGGAGGCAGCGGCACCTGTGATCTTCAGCCCGGCCGACGTCTGAGGGTGCTTTTCTTACCAGCCTCGAACTTGTCCCTGTCCCTAAGAGTGGCACGCCAAAAGGCGATGCCAATCCTAGAGATGCGCCCTCAAAAAAAAAGGGAATCCCTAAGATTGGCACGCCAAAAGGCGATGCCAATCTTGGAGATGCGCCCTCAAAAAAAAAGGGAATCCCTAAGATTGGCACGCCAAAAGGCGATGCCAATCCTAGAGATGCGCCCTCAAAAAAAGAGGGAATCCCTAAGATCGGCATCGTGATGGGGCGATGCCCAGCATAGGGATAGGGATATGTTCCAGGCTGGTAAGCCTCTTCCGCACGCTGTGCCTCCCTCCTCTCTGCTTATAGTGGCTGGGCCATGCGGAATTGCTTGACTCCTGACTCTGTGGGCCCCGGAAACGGCAGGGCCGTTTTTTCACCGTTTCCAGAAGAATGTCCTTTGAGAATGGAAACGGCAAAAAAAACGGCGACCGGAAACGGCAAAAGAACGGCTCCAGGATTGGAACCGGAGCTGGAACCGGTCAAAAAACGGCGACGGAACCCGTAAGAAAACGGCGTCGAAACCGGCAAAAAAAATGCAAAACGGAACCGGTAAAAGAACGGCCTTGTCGTTTCCAGGGCCCACTAAGACTCTTCACGTTTCGATGGACCTACCTACTGGCCGGATATGGTCCCCCCCCCGCTCTTCCCCATGGTATTACGCAGATGTCGTGGACCCGACGCTTACCCTGCCTGTGGAAGAAGACCTGCTGTTGATCTGCCGTATGCGGCCCGGGCACGTTCACATGTTGAAAAATACGGCGCGGTGGACCCATTGTGTATACCATCCACGTCTCTTGTCTAGATAGCATGATTCGATCTTCAGCCGATCTCCGATTTTGCCGAGGCGACCCTGTGAGAGCCGAGGCCTCAAGCACAGCATGTCGCCAGCCATGTGTCACGACGTGTTCCCCTTCATCTCGGGTCGGGCGAAAAGGGGGGTTTGGGAAAGGGGGGGTTACGAAATCTGCTGCATGCAGCTGGTTTCGGCCCCACCGAGGGGCCCATTCCTCGATACATAGCCGCCTCCGGCGCCGGGAGGCGCCGGGAAAATTAGCTACGTGAGCTGATTCTCAAACCCCCCCTTTGCTATCCCCCCCTTTCGCCCGACCCGAATGTGTCACGACGTGTTCCCCTTCATCTCACACCGTCGGCTGTCTCTCTCTCTCTCTCTCTCCGGAGCGAGCGCCGGCCTTGACGATCGTCAGGCAGCGGGCGACTGAGGGTCGGAGCGTTCAGAGGAGTGCCAGATGCCTTACGTTCGGGGGAGCGTAAGACCCGGGTTTGCCAGGACTCGGGTTCGCCATCGTTTTTTGACGACCGCGACTCGGATTTTGACGAGCAGGAGTTTCGTGGGATGTCTGCAGCGGGAGGCCTCGTCAAAATGCAGGCTCGGCCTCGTCATTTTTTTGACGACCTCGTCGGGGATTTCCGAGTCCCCTGTACCCGGGTCTTACGCCCCCCTGATATGTCGGCGGCCGAGAGTTAGTTCGCTCGCCTCCGAGCGGTTTGGAAAGAGGGCTATGCCTCCTCCCCTTGTGCGTAGCACAGCAGGAACGACTCCCTCTCTGGAGCGTTTCGCCCCGGCGGGGTCGTCAGGAAGAGGCCCCCCACAGTCCACAAGCTTCAAAAATCCATGTTTGGCACTCCTGGAGGCTTTTCCCGGCTTCGCCCTTTCAAAAAACCGCGCTGGCGCTCCCCGAGGGCGCTCTCGCAATTGCGTGCCCGCTCGCACGCGGCGTTGTCTGGCCCGCCCCGAGGTCGTGCCGTGCGCGCCCGCCCGCGCGCGGCGCCCTCCGGCGCGCCCCGAGGGCACTTCCGCGCGTGCCCGCTCGCACGCGGCTCCCCGCTCGCACGCGGCCGTTCTCTGACGCGCCCCGAGGGCGCTGCCGTGCGCGCCCGCTCGCGCGCGGCGCTCTCGGGTGACGTCTTCCAACACGGCCCCCGCCCCATCCCCTTGGCATCGCTCGGACGTGTGCATTTTTCCTTCGGCGAGGACCATCGAGGAGCATCCTTGATCATTTGGCGAAAAAACCATGCACGAAACCGAAAAAAACACAGGGAATGGACGTCCGAGCGATGGCGAGATCCCGCGCGGCTGTCTGCACGGCGACTGCAGCCGACGTCTTCGCACGCAGCCCCCCGCCCCCCCCCCTCCCGCGCAGCTGTGGCGTCGCGGCGCGCCCATATTATTTGCGACGCCGCGGCGCCGCGTCCGCAGGGCGCGCGCTCGCGCATCTGCTGCAGGCGCGGCGCCAGCCTGCCTGGCGCCACGCTTCGAGCACCTCGCGAGCCTTCGCTTGCCAAGAAGGTTGCCGACGCGACGCGTCGCTTTATCCCGCGCGGGCTCGAGAGCTGCCCAGTCGCGCGAGGAATATATTCCCTACCTAGGCTCAGCCTAGAAGGGTTCTGACTCTCTATCTTAAAGGGGCCGGGCAGTGGGCTTCGCCCCGGGCGGTTCCCCCAGGATCCGCCCCGCGGTTCCCCCAGTTATGTCCCCTTAGCTTAGCGTTGCTTATCTCATCTTAGCTTAGCTTAGCTTCACCGTAGCTCAGGTTTATCTCAGCTTAGCTTACATTCATCTTAGCTTCGCTGAGCTTTAGCATAGCAGAGCACAGCATAGCATAGCGTAGCACAGCATAGCGCAGCATAGCATATCATTAGCATGGGGTGTAATTCCCTACCTAGGCTCTGCCTAGAGGGTTAGCTTAGCTGAGCTTAGCATAGCGCAGCGCTGCATTAGCATATCATAGCATAGCATAACATAGCCGAGCATATGATAGCATAACATAGCGCGGCATAGCATAGCATAGCATATCATAGCATAGCGCAGCATAGCATGGCATAGCATAGCATAACATAGCAACTAATGCTGCTTTCCTCGGGGCTCCAACTTCTAGGTAGGGTCGCACTGGGGTAATGTTTTGTTGGCGCCGCGCGCCGACCCCAGCGCAACGCATGGCGTTCCAAGATTGGGCCGACCATGCGACGCGCGAGTCTTCCTTCCCTTGGCGCGCGCGAGCGCTGAGCAGGAGAGCGAGGAAGCCGCTCGGCGCCGCGCGCCCACCACAGCGCGAGCAGCGCGCGGCCGCAGCTGACGACTTCCCACGCAGCCCCCCCCCCCCCCCGCGCGGCGGTTGTGGAGCGACAAACTGACCTGTCCGACGCCGCTTCGACGCGTCCGCAGGCACGCCCGCGCGCACTTGCACGCCACCAGCCGCGCAGGGAGGCGCCACCCCGCCCGGGCACCACGCGCCGACCGCCGCGCGAGCATCGTTTGCCGACAGCGCGCCAGACGCCACGCGACGAGTCATACCGCGTGCGCTCGACCGCTCACCAGTCGCGCGCGGAGTCGATCTGTCGCCGCGGGCCGACCCCGGTGCACTACACCGCGTTCCGAGATCGGGCCTCCCATGCGACGCGCGGTTCTTCGCCTGCGCGCGCGGGGGGGCGTTATCCAGGCAAGCCAGGAAGCTGCGTGGCGCCGCGCGCCGACTCCAGCGCAAGCAATGTCGTCGCCGAGCCAGTCGCCGACGCGGCGCGCCAGTAGTCTTCGCGGCGTCGAGCGCCGACCCGAGCGCGAACATTTTCGCCGTCGGATTTGTGCTGCTGTGCCACCGCGCAGGGCGCGACGCGCGCCCGACGCATGACCAACGGCATCCGCCTCCAGATTCCAATCGCGGTGTGACGTTTCGATATGCATGATTCAGAGCGTGAACTACCTACCCCGCTTTCGTTTCCAGGCGAAACCAAGTCATACCACGCGCCTCCTCGTCAAGCGGTCTAACCCGTACAGGCCGTAGTTTGGCATCGCTTGGTATCTCTTGGAAGCGAGGGTGGCCAAAAGCGAGGTAGGTTTGCTTGCCCTTAATGATCGCGAAGCACCCCGCGGATGCGGCGCCAGCGCACTTCTCCCTTCAGGGCGGCCGCGTGTGGGGGGCCGCACGCGAGGAGGGAGCCGACTCCGGGGCCCGGCCGAGGCAGGGCGGGGGGGGGGTGCTGGGCAACGGGCATCGCGCAGCGCGCACAGGAGCGCCCCACCCCGCCACACACACACACACACACACACACGCTGGGGAGGGCGATGCGCGCCCGCACCCCACAACAGGACTAGCTCTCTCTCTCTCTCTTGTTCTCTCTCTCTCTCTCTCTGTCTCTCGTCTTCTCTCTCTCTCGCTCTCTCTCTCTTTCTTTCTCTCTCTCTCTCTCTCTCTCTCGTTTGGTTTGTCTCTCTCTCTCTCTCTCGCTCTCTCGTGCGCAACAGTGCGCAACAGTGCACTGGGGGGCCCGACCACGGCCTCCCAGACGGCACGAGAGACTCTCAAGAGCGCCGAAGTCGGCCGAGGTTGGCCCCTAAGACGGCTCTGTCGGCCCTGGATGGCCAAAGTCGCCTCAGGATCGCCCGAATCACTCCACGGATACGGGTTGGACGGGAGGGCACCCCCTGGAACCACCTGGCGGGGAAGGGATCTATGGGAAGGGCCTCCTTTTTGGCGCGGGCACGACGTGGTTCGGTTTCCCTTGGGTGGGTGGGTTTGTGAAGGAGACCCCTGGGTGGCTATAGGGAAGGTGGGAAAGCTTCGAATTCTCAGAAACGCACAAGCCGACACGGTCAGCTGATCTGGTCTCAGGTCTACTTCGACATCACTATTGGCGGCCAGCCTGCAGGAAAGATCGTGTTCGGCCTCTACGGCGATGTCGCGCCAAAGACTGTGGAGGAGAGCTGTTTTGGCAGGGCAGACTTCAGGAGGGAAAAAAAACACAGGCACAATTAATCGTCGATCCCCCAGAAAATATAGGAAAATATGGGAAGTGGGGGGGAAGACAAAAACCCAGAAAATCTAGGAAAAGGTGGGGACTGATTTTATGTGTGTGTATTTATTTGTGTGTTCCAGGGCCCCTTCAGAACTTCTGATGCCGAGCGGATACGACGCAGCGAACGGAAGCAGCAGACATGGCAGCAGGAGCGGCCGCGGCAGCAGCAGGACGTGGGTGGGCAGACCTCCTACCCTGACGCGTCGATTAGTGAATTGTCGAGGAGGAGGAGGAGGAGGAGGAGGAGGAGGAGGAGGAGGAGGAGGAGGAGGGGGGGGGTTGTCTCCAGGTGTCGGGGGTGGGCAGAACCCCAACCCTGACGCGTCGATTAGTGAATTGTCCGTCTTCGGTTCTCGAGAGGGCGCCGCGGCCGTCATGTTCCAGGCTTGCGCCCGCCGGGGTTGGGCCCGAGGTCGTTTTCGCTAAACCACGTTTTACTACAGGGGGGTCTGTCCATCCCCGAAGCAGGGTGTGGGGGCATGCCATGAGGCTGGGCGCGTTGAGTGCGAGGTGCTGCTTGCAGAGCGCCAGCGCCTCGGAGACAAAGTCCCGAAGAGCGTGCACGCGTGCACTGTAGATCTCGGAGGTCCGCGCCCATGTCCTGGGCTGGCGTGGCACGCTTCGCGCGCCTGGCGATGAGCGGGGTCCACCGCCGACCCGAGAAGCTCGCGCGGACCTCCGACAGCGTACGTCTACGCAACTGTTTGGGTCTCCTATGCAGGTGAGAGCACGTGTGGCGCGACGCGCGGAAGTTGCAAGGGGCCACCCCCTACGAGTCCTCTCTGCAAAGCTTTACGGCAGACTGCTTGCCGAGATCCACCTCGTCATATTCATCGGTCGCTGCGACACCGAAGGCGCATTCGAAGAGACACGTGAGGCAGATGCACTCCGTAAGCATTGTCTGATGATATGAGGCCTCTGGCCCCCATACAACCAATTACTGTTCACACATACACACACACACACACACGCATGCAACAAGGCCACGGCTGTCTTTACCTTGGTGTGGGAAGGGCACGCGATTTTTTAGTGGTTGCCGGGCAGAAGCCATTCTCGTTACGTGTTCTCTGCCTCCCTTTTGTTTTTCTTTGTGTTGCGTTGTTCTCCGAACCCCACGCGTGTGTATACGTGAGGGTTCGGGCCAAGAGGATCATTCACTCTTGAAACACAGTCTGGGCGGCCACGTGGTGAGATAATTGCTTGCTCTGTTCCCAATCATGTGGGAGTGGTGTCTGCTTACTGTGCCCATCAGAGAGCCGACAAGCAGAGTGCCAGCAGCGGCGATTGGAGCCACGATCTGGAAGTGCAGGTGGCGAACGAAGTGGAGTGCGAGAAGCGAGCAGCCGTCTTCGGAAGCAGAGCTGGGTACATAGCCTTCCTGCGCCCCCCGTCGTCTTCCCCCTCCCCTCCCGTGTGCTCTACGCAACAACCCCAACGCCCCCGAGATCACATTGCCAAAGCAACGCCTGCAAGCATGTGACGGGAAAGGGGCGGCGTGCAGAGCACGACGTTTGCGAAGCCCGAGGCGTTGATATCAACCGGCCGCCAGAATTTCGCCACGCTGTGTTCCAACCCGCCTGGCGAGCCAAGCGGGCGCGTTGAGCGCATGCACATGATGCTAGCAGAGAAGACAGTTGTATACGGTAGCGTGTGCGAGAAAGGAGATGGTGAGGGAGCGTACGCAAGAGAGAGAGAGAGGAAATAGAAGGAGAGAGAGAGAGAGACATGGTCTAAGAGAAAGAGAGGGAGAGAGAATGAGAAAGCGAGGGGGAGCCATGCGTCGAGGGAATGAAAGATATTGGGGAACGAATAGGGAGAGAGTGAGAGAGAAAAAGACAGAGCGAAACAGACAAACCAGGCGACCCTAAATAGTAAAGCGTTGCGTAGTGGATGTGCAAGCTGCGTGCTGTATGCAGGCTGTGTGGTGCAGGCTATGTGGTGCATGCTGTGTGGTGCAGTCCACCCTGCAGAGCTTGAAGTCGTCAACTCCACTGCTCGCTCAATCAGTCCACCCTCTCACCCGCAACTTGTTTTGCACAACCCATGTGGCCGCGATTGCGATGACCCCTTGGCACTGGTTGGCGCATCTTTGCGGATGCGCTAGCGCGCGAAAGTTTGCGCGCAGGGCGGCCAATTAGTTTGGCACAACCGACCTTGTCGCGATGACACTTACCATTGGGAACTTCCCAGCGCGTCTCAAAGCCGTGCTGGCGCGCAGGCACTTCAGTACAGGTCGGTAACTCGGTCGGGCGCTGTATCATGATGACGCTGGCAACGGCGGCAACGATGATGATAGTAGCGATGGTGGTGGCGAATATGACGATGACGACGACAAGGCCAATGACGGCGCCAATGCTGGTGACGACGGTGATGAGGATGTTGCCCATGCGTGACCGTGGACGCTATCGAACGCGCCTACGGCGAATCACCTCCGCCCCCTGCCATTTAGGATACGCCTGTGGGGCCAAACGTTTGGGCAAACTTTGGTCAAGCGATTGGACCGTGTGTTCCACAAGCCGCTGTGAAAACCCTTCGGGGAACACGTGGGGGAAGAAGAGGATGAGGAGAGTGAGGAAAAAGGAGGAGGAGGAGGAGGATGGGGAGGATGAATGGATCTCTTGGGAGCCTTTTCGGTCATTATTGGGGCCTCCTGGGAGTTTCCTGCGGGCCTCTTGGAAGCCTCTTGGGGGCCTCCTCGGGCCGCGTGGGGGCCGGGGGGGCCTCCTTGGCCGTCTTACGGAATTCCTCGCCCGGCTGACAACGTCGGGAGCCGCTTTGGGGGACCTCTTTGGGCCGTCTTAATGCCCCCTTGGGGCGCTTCAGAGCCGCCTTGGAGGCTATCTTGGGCGTTGTGGAGGCCTCTTGGGCCGTCTTAGGGCTCCTTTGGGGACCGTCTTGGGAGCTTCTTGAGCCGTCTTTGGGTCATTTTGGAGGCCTCTTGGGCAATCTTGAACGATCTTTGGGGCCTCTTGGGCCGTCGGTTGGCCGTTTTGATGCAAATGCCAACACCTTCGCAAACATAAGGAAAATCAATAAGTTGTGTCTCCTCGGGCCTTCCTGGGGGACATCTTGAAGGCCTCTTTGGCCGTCTCGAAGTCCTCTTAGGGGCCTCTTGGGCCGTCTTGGGCCATCTTTGGCCATCTTCGGTGCACCTTGGGGCCAGCTTGGGCTGTCATTGGGGCCGTCTTGGCCGTCTTGGAGGCGAGGCGCCATGGAGGGGACTGGGTCCACGAAGTTCGGTTTTCGGGCGGCTTGCGCGGCCTTCAAGGTGGTTGGCAGGTGTGGCCGAAGCCCCAGGGGGACTTTTCAAATAAGTTAAAAACAAAAACATCAGTGAAGATTGATGATATGGATATTGAGATCGTTTGTGATATCGATAGTGTGATCGATAGCGGCATCGACTGTTAGTACGGTCGGTCGTAAGACCGATAGTGAAGTCGATTCAGTGAGATCCATCGTGAGAGCGATCGTGAGATCGTTCGTGCGATTTATACTGAGATCGAGTGCAAGATGGATTGTGAGATCGATTAAGCGGTGGGTAATGAGATCGATGGTGAGACCGATTGATGAGGAGATCGACCAAGAACCCGGGAACCCAGAATCCCGGGAACCCCGCCGCACACTGAAATCGGCCTTGAACCAGCAACCGGGAACCCGGGAACCCGGAACCAGGAACCCGGGAACCTTGCGGACCTCTTCATGGCAAGCATTGATTGGGGAGCAACAACAACAATCATTTTAAGATTGTTCGCTCTTATCGGCTCGCGCGCCATTCAACACGTATATCCCAAACCCTCGATACCCACCCTCCTCGTCTTCGATCGTGCCCTCTGGGGGGCGTATCCGTCTTATTCCCTACCTAGGCTCTGCCTAGAAGGGTTCTTACTCTCTAGGCTTAAAGGGCCGGGCAGTGGGAACCGGCCCGGGCGGTTCCCCCAGTATCCGCCCCGCGATTCCCCCAGTTACGTCCCCTTAGCTTAGCGTTGCTTATCTCATCTTAGCTTAGCTTAGCTTCATCTCAGCTCAAGTGTTTCTTAGCTTAGCTTACCTTCATCTAAGCTTCGCTGAGCTTTAGCAGAGCACAGCATAGTGCAGCATAGCATATCACAGCATAGCATATCATAGCATAGCCCAGCATAGCATGGGGTGTAATTCCCTACCTAGGCTCTGCCTAGAAGGTCAGCTTAGCTTAGCATAGTTTAACATAGCGCAGCGCTGCATTAGCATAGCATAGCATAGCATTGCATAACATAGCCAATCATAGCATAGCATAGCATAGCATAGCGCAGCATAGCATATCATAGCAAAGCATAGCATAGCATAGCACAGCATAGCGCAGCTTAGCATAGCATAGCATAGCATAGCTTAGCATAGCTTAGCATAGCACAGCGCAGCATGACATAGCATAGCTTAGCGCAGCATAGCATATCATATCATCGCATAGCGCAGCATAGCATGGTATAGCGTAGCATCGCATAGCATAGCAACTAATGCTGCGTTCCTAGGGGCTCCAACTCTAGGTAGGGTCGCACTGGGGTAATTTGAATTATGTGCAGCCTCTAAGGCAGGGGACGAGAGGACGGATGGAAGGAGGGGACAGGGGGGAACTAGGAGGATGGAGCACGAGAGAGAGTAGCAGGGGCGGGGGGGGGCCTAGGAGCAGAACACACGTGGCAGAACCAGACGGGCAGATTGGGTTGGTAGGCCCTAACGGGCGGGTCGGGAAGGCGGGCCCAGGCGGCCAGGTCGTGCAGGCGGGTTGTTGAAGCGTGCGTCCTGCATGAATCGCGAGGAGGTCCCGAGCGATAGCGCGATTCACAAATAAATCGTGAAGAAATTCATTGCGAGAGCTGGAGTATTGAGTGTCGAGGGCGCGGCGTCGGAATAAATTGTGAGGCGGTTCCACGCGAGAGCGCGATTCTGGTATAAATTGCGATGAACGCGCGAGAGCGCGATTGTCAAATACGCTGTGAGGAAGTATCAGACGGGAGCCGTTGCTCTTGTAATTCAGGGGCCAGGAACCCAGCTCGGTGACTCCAAGTTTTCCCTTGTAGAAAACACGATGCGAGCCTCGAGGGGGGCGCTTCACGTGAAAAATTTGAATGGCTACCGCGCAGAGGGATCAATAATCATTATTCGTTAGAAATGAGAAAATAACGGCAACACCAATAATCATATGATTGCT